TTTAGAAACATATCGATCAGTTGAAACGGGAGATCCAACATGGCATACACACAATGGTGGGAAGTGAGGGAAACGTGCGACGATGAAATTACAAAACATTTTATCGCGTTGCCATTGAACGAATGCAATCTTTCCTAACGATGTTCACGTTTAACGATAAAGCATTTCCGGCAACTCTCAGTTTCATATCCGGAAAAGGGTAATTTGAAATAGGAAGAAAATGCTTAATGAAAAATAAATAGATAAATAATAATAATAATTTTAAAAACGTTTCAGAATCATCGGACTTTACGTTTCCATCGTATTCGTCATGTGGACTTTGGTCCGAGGATTTTTCACCGGAATCTCATTTAAAATCATGTTTGACGACATGCCCAACGTCGATCGCATTTTGCAGGTAAGTTAGCAAAAGCTATTTCCGGTTAATTTGATTTTCTTTTGTATCCGCTTTTCCCCCTCCCTCCCTCTCCCTCCCTCTCTCTATCTCTCTTCCTCTTCCTCTTCTTCCTCTCTCACTCTCCTTCTCTCTTCCTCTTCCTCTCTTCCTCTTCCTCTTCCTCTTCTTCTCTTCCTTTCCTCTTCTACTCCTCTTCCTCTTCTTCCTCTCTTCCTCTTCCTCTCTTCTTGTTTTCCTCTTCTTCTCTTCTTGGGTTCCTCTTCTTCTCTTCTTTTCCTCTTCTCCTCTTCTTCTCTTCCTCTTCCTCTTCTTCTCCTCTTCCTCTTCTTGTCTTCTCTTCCTCTTCTACTCCTCTTCCTCTTCTTCCTCTCTTCCTCTTCCTCTCTTCTTGTTTTCCTCTTCTTCTCTTCTTGGGTTCCTCTTCTTCTCTTCTTTTCCTCTTCTCCTCTTCTTCTCTTCCTCTTTCTCTTCTTCTCCTCTTCCTCTTCCTCTTCTTGTCTTCTCTTCCTCTTCTTCTCTTCTTGGGTTCCTCTTCTTCTCTTCCTCTTCTCTTCCTTTCCTCTTCTACTCCTCTTCCTTTTCTTCTCTTCCTCTTTCTCTTCTCTTCCTTTCCTCTTCCTCTTCTTCTCTTCCTTTCCTCTTCCTCTTCTTCTCTTCCTTTCCTCTTCCTCTTCCTCTTCTTGTCTTCTCTTCCTCTTCTTCTCTTCTTGGGTTCCTCTTCTCTTCCTCTTCTCTTCCTTTCCTCTTCTACTCCTCTTCCTTTTCTTCTCTTCCTCTTTCTCTTCTCTTCCTTTCCTCTTCCTCTTCTTCTCTTCCTTTCCTCTTCCTCTTCTTCTCTTCCTCTTCTCTTCCTTTCTTCTTCCTCTCTTCCTCTTCCTCTTCTTCTCTTCCTCTTCTTCTCCTCTTCTTCTCCTCTTCTTCTTTTCTTGTCTTCCTCTTCTTCTCTTCTTGTCTTCCTCTTCCTCTCTTCTTCTCTTCCTCTCTCTCTTTTAAATGCTTTATTTTTACTCTCTCATTTCCAGTTATGCCTCGACATATATTTAGTAAGAGAAAGTAACGAATTTGCTCTCGAAGAAGATTTATTCGCCAAATTGGTTTTCCTATATCGATCACCGGAAACGATAATTAAATGGACGAAAGAAAGGAGAGAAATCGAAGACGATGAAGATGGCGCCGATGGTAGTCAATTACCCTGGGTCGAAAATTAAAGTTTAAGTTTTTGTTTAGAATACGACACGCACGTTGGTACAAGCACGTATATGCATTTCGTTTACGCACG